GGCAGACTGTCCGAGATAAGGGTGTTTATTGCAAAAATATTTTTTGTGATTTTTGTTGTTGTTTGTTTATGCTATGCAATAGACAAATGCAACAAACAAATGCGCACACAATTCGGTCATCCACGAACAGGCGAGAAGTCGTTTTAATCACGAGGTAGGGTTTTCCTGCAGAAAAGTGCATTGGCGAAGGTAGGTTCTAACTGTTCTCACCAAGGCTAAGGCCCCCAAGGTGCCCCCATTATAGGGTCCCCACTCTCCAGCCTTCCGACCATGCTTAGCACTAAGGCCATAGTTAGTCTTTGTGCCAAAAGAGGAAGGTTATCACCTTGAGTGGTGGTTTCTGATCACACCGGTGGGCACAAGGCCATCACTACAGCGAACCGTACCTGCCACCCACTCCCTATGGATTTCTCACTTGCCCCCGGGTATAGAGGGAACTGTAGTGTGCAAGGGTTTGTGTACAGTTTGTATTTCAAACAATTGCATAAGTATAAACAAGCAACAGTTATTAAAGCCAAACAGTAAAACATGTTATAATACAAGGTAGGGTAAAAGCGTAATTTTCTTGGTTTATTTATTTTTTAAGTCGGCCCATCACTAAATGGGATCAACTCTCTAGGCATCCCCAGTGGAGTCGCCATCTGTCGCCGCTGTAAAAAACAAGGGCGGTTGGAGCGACGCGATAGTTTTCGACTCTCTTTATTTTCGCGGTTTTATTGGTGGTTACAACGCCTTTAGGTTGTCCGATAACCGGTCTGAACCTAGGGGCGAGGTTTTCGAAAGGCGTTCTTGGGTTGTCCGATAACTGGGCTAACCCAATAACTAGTTTTGAAGGGTTCTGTGGAGTTGCCACCGATGTTTTTACCGGAAACATCGGAAAAGGAGTTTAAAAGGCGTTGGTTTTCGAAAAACCAACTTTGGTCGTTAGAACCAGAGTTGGGTAAGGGAGTTAGTTACGTGTAAAGGAAGGGTTAGTTCCTTTACGACGTCCCTTTCGGGTTCCCTATGATAGGTCAGCTATTTTTAATAAATAAACCAGTGAAAATATGCTTTTACCCTTTTATTTGCGAAATTTAAAGTTATGACTACATGGCCCTAGTATCTATTGCATGATTTAAATAAAGCAGTAAAAGGTAAAGAGAGAGAATAAAAAACCTTCGGAGCATGCTTTCTATTAATTCTTTTAAAAATAGGGTGCTTTGTGGCAGCCCTTCACTCTACACAGCGTCGGAAACCTCTCGAAACGCTAAAAAACACTCGTAGAAACACTCAGAAACTCCGGAAATGCGTCGGAGGGATTCTAGAGAGAGAATCTAGTGATGTGACTAGAGAGAGAGTGAGAGAACTGTGTGGAATGAGGGGAATGGAGCCCCTATTTATAGGAATTCGCGCCTGTTAGGTCGAGACGAGCCGTCTCGTCTGACAAGGTCGAGACCGTCGTCTCACCATTCGAGACCGCCGTCTCGCCTTGTAGAAATGGCGAGACCGCCGTCTCACCAAATGAGACGGTGGTCTCGCCATTCGTAGGTGGCGAGACGGCCGTCTCGCCAAACGAGACGACGGTCTCGCCACTTGCGCGAGGCGAGACGGCGGTCTCGACCCAAAAAGGCGAGAATCCTTATTTTCATGCCAAAAATCCCTCCTATCCTAGTATGGGGCCTAATAGTCTTTCCTAGTGGCTTCTTAGGCTTCGTCCATCTTCGAATAGAAGCTTTTCTAGTCTTTATTATGAGGCCGGGCAAGATTTGGGGTCTACATACGAGAACTTTTATTATGATGCTGTTTATGCATACCTTTCTTAGTGCATTTATTTTCTCTCTTAGTTTTACCACTTATTGGATGATGTGGTATGAATGACACGACTTTGCCAACAATCTGTTGAACATTCAAGGACTTGATGTTGAACTTACATGGACATGAAGCTTGTTGATTTTGATGATGATTCAGGAACAAAGAACTTAGAGAGTTGAAGACTTGTTTTATAGTGTAATAACTCTGTTTTGATTAGTTTGAGTCTGTAATATTAGAGTTTGAGATAGCTGGTACATAGTCTGCACTTTAGAAGCTTCAAAAACTCAATTTTATCAAGGTGGCTCGGCTTTAATCGATTAAATGGTGAAATAATCGATTAAAACAGTGAGAAAAACCATTTTCTGTATCTGCTCACTGGTTTAATCGATTAACACACCTGCTAATCGATTAACAGGCCTGTTAATCGATTAACAGGTCTTTTAATCGATTAAAATAGAGATTTTTGGGGTTTTGTTGATTTTGGCTCTGTAATAATCGATTAACACTTCATTTAATCGATTATTTCAGTCAGATTTTGATTTTAAACTTCAAATCAACCCTAGTTTCGACAACCCTAATCCCAATACTCTCTAGTTCCGAAAATCCCAATTCCCAAACCCTAATTTCTCTACTTAAGCTTCTCTATGGCACTCAGAAAAAAAGAACAACCTTTTTCATACAAAAGTTAAGTGTTGTGAGTGCCAGAGAACTGTTTGTTGCAAGAAAAAGGGGCTTTTGGAACCTGGTGTGGGCTAGAAGCGATAAGAATCACTAAGTGGAGTTCTTAGTGAATTGTGTGTTGTGCCGTCTCTGGGGAAAGTTGTTCTTCATCTCTTGTGGGTTTCAAGAGAGGTGTTCTCTTTACTTTGTATTTTCCATTGTAATCTGTTTGTAACAACTGTGATTATAGTGACAGCGTTAATCCTCTGTTTGAGTGATTAGCAACTGGACGTAGGGTCTTTTGATCCGAACCAGTATAAATCTCCTGTGTAAGATTCTATCTCTACTCTATTTACATTTACACAGTTTTTAATCGGTAAAATTTGGGGAAAATTTTGAAAACCTAATTTTTGTTAAGAAACCAATTCACCCCCCCCTCCTGGTTTTTGTCCGACCACGCGAACATTCTGCTGCGCGATTCTAACAAGTGGTATCAGAGCTTGCTTTGATAGTCATTCAAACTTTTTGAAAATGGCCGGAAAAAATCGAACTTTTGCCGAAGGTGCGTCTATCAACAGACCCCCACTTTTTACGGGTCAAAATTATCCTTTCTGGAAAGTAAGAATGCAAATATTTTTAGAGTTTGTTGATAGAGGCGTTTGGGACGCTATTTTAAACGGTCCCTATATTCCTAATGTTACTGAGAACGGTGTTGACGTTCCTAAACCTTTTTCTAGATGGACTGCAGAGGAAAACAGAAAAGCACAATTTGACGTTCGGGCTAGAAATATAATTTCATCTGCTTTAACCCTTGATGAGTTTTACAGAATATCCATTTGTAAGAGTGCTCAAGAGATGTGGGAAAAACTAAGAGTAACCTATGAAGGAACCGATGATAGTGACTCAAGTTTAGGGTCAAGCAATGCGGAAGTTGAAGCAAATATTTGCTTATTGGCAAATGACATCATTTCTTCTGACTATGAGGTTAGTGATTCCAACTCATCTTCTAGTGATGATGAAAATAACTATAATGAACTACAAAATGCTTACAATGAATTGTTTAGTGCCTTTAAGGATTTGAAAAATGAATATAAAACTGTGAAAAAGAGTTTAAGTAGATCCAAAATGGAGGTAGAGTCCTTAAAAACGAAAATTGCATGTTTAGAGGAAAAGGAAACCATAGAAACGAAAATTGTATGTATAGATGAGAATGATGATAAAAATATAGTATGTGCATCTTGTAAAGAGCATGAATATGACATAGATATTCTTAATCATCTACTTGATAACGGAGATTCCAGAAAGAGTGCTTCCAGAAAGAGAACTCAATCATAAAGAGCATGAATATGACATATGAATATGACATCACGAGTGCTTCCAGAAAGAGAACTCAGACAGAAATATAATCGAAACATTAAAAGTAACGGAGATGAAATAGATCAGAAACATAAATTAAAATGAAAACACAAATTTAAATACGAACACAAACAAAAACGCAAACAATTTCTCAAAGAAAAAGAAAAACACAAACACAAATACAAGTACAAAGACAAACATAAACCCAAACCCAAATCCAAACTCAGACCCAAATCCAAACTTAAAACCAAACCAAAACCCAAACCCAAATAGAAACATAAACACAAATACAAATAAAAACACAAACACAAATGCACACGTACAGAAAAAAAAAACACAACCACAAACACCAACCCAAACACAATCACAAACACAATAGGATGATAATGGAAGTGTAAACTCATTAATAACTATTGGTGGATTAGGATCATACCTGCAATAGGATGTACACTTGCACGTGCATAAGAAAAATGAAAATGATGTGTGGCAAACTTAGCTTCAGCACATATAGCACACACATGTCTGCATCATGAGTGCTGCTAGAAATAAAATACAAACAGAAACGTAATTGAAACATCAAAAGTAATAGAGAAGAAATAGATATAAAACATAAACACAAATTAAAATATAAACACAAACATAAACACGTAAACAAAAACATAAAAACAAACACAAACATAAATACAAAACCAAACACAAACGCAAACACGAAGACAAACACAATAGGATGACAATGGAAGTGTAAACACATTATTAACTATTGGTTCAATAGGATCATATCTACAATAGGATGTACACTTGCACCTGCATAAGAAATATGAAAATGATGTATGGCAGACTTAGCTTCAACACATATAGCAGACACATGGTTGCATCACAAGTGTTGCCTTAAATAGAACAGAGACAAAATCATTATCGAAACATCAAAAGAATTGAAGAAGAAACAGAATAGAAACATAAACACATAACTGGAAATTTTAGCAACGCAAAATTTAAACTAGACGAGAAACTTAGGGTGAAAGTCCAACCAAGTGACACTTAGAGCCTCTTGGGATACTTTCACGAAACTAAAACGCTTATTATTACAATTTTTTTTGGGAGATGGGATTGTACCGAAGACATTTTCCCAAGACACCCAAACAAAATTAAAGAATAAAATTTATAATAAAATACAACAAAAGAAATTTATTCAGCAACTATGCTTGTCTCATGGATTGATAAATTCATCATACTCGTTGGACAAGTGGCTCATAGAAAGCATTTGCATAATGATACTCCATATCAAGTGCAGGTAGGTCTCTGAAAGTGATGTCATTACTATTAAAATCCATATTAGCACAATCCAAATGAAGCAAAATGTTATGAAAAACACGAAAATTACAAGAAAGCAACACAAAAATTTTTGAGAATTTTTGAGCAACACAAAAGAAAAGAAAGACAACCTCACGTTCCTGTAGATGGTGTTAGTGAAAGCCCTTATTCTTTGCTTGCTGCGTCATGCAGAGTTGTACCCCTTTAATATGATGAGAAGAGGGGTCACCCTATTTTCTACACCAATCTTTATTTACTACTATATTACTATCTATATTTTTTAGGTTATTAACGATCCATTTTTCCAAACATCCATGTAATAACCATTTTTATATTTTTATATTATTATTTATCTATCTTAGTTCTTTCTCTTTCTATCAATAAAAAAAGTAATATTTTAGGATTATTTATAGGATATTTGAAAAAATTGGAGTCTCAAAAAATATTTTCCCATGTTTTTTTGGAGTGTATAGCTCAATTAGTAGAGCATTGGGCATTTAACCTAATAGTCGCAGGTTGAGGTCCTGCTATATCCAAACAAACATGCCTTACATTATACCTATTTATTTTTATTTTAATTAATAATGATGCGTAATAACGTTCAAAGATAACTCTTTGGCCTTTAGACTCCTTTTAGTGACTTTGCCCTTTTAGTGAGAAGGGTAAAGAATAGTATAAGAGTAATTCGATCTTCCATAGTTCTCTCCTTATTTCCGCTGAAAAGAGGTAAGTACTAAGAAGACGACTATTTCGTGTTGAATATGCTTTCGTCTGTGATATAGAGGGAGTAACAATATCATATGGTTTTTCTGCAATACAATAGTAGAATCAGAAAAAATCCTTTATAATAGTTTAGTATAAGACCAACCTAGGTCCTTTGTTAAAGAGCTATCCAATATCTCCAACCTGTTAGAGTACCTCGGGCAATAGAAAAATTTAGGAATTAATCTTTCCATTAACATTAAACCTTTGGAGTGTTAGTGTCAATTCCCAACCATCTAGTTCTAATGGAAGTTATAGTTGCAAAGCCAGTTTAAGAAAATTCATTTTCAAGATGGTAAGGGCATGGTACGTGTGAGTGCAATCAAATGTTTCCCTACAGTTGCATTGACCCTTACTTTTTTAGGGCTTCCATATGAGCCAATTTTCAAGACATTATACAGCAGTGGTAAGGTACACCTATGTCATTTCCTTTTTTTTTAAGATCTATGACTTAATATAAAATAGGATAAAAATGTCAAGTGATTCAACTCAAGCACGAACCGCTACCTCCTCTTCTCTGACTTCAACAAAAAGAAAGTCAAACAACTCATTATCCCATGTCAACAACGCATTCGTTCACTCAAACAGCGCATTTGTAAGCTCGAAATCCAAGAGTCTATCCAGTACCAGAAGTGAAGGGTGAATGTTAAATTCTCTTACTTATTTTAACGAGAGTCGAAAAGTAGTAAGCAAGTGACTATGGGAAAGTCAGGGTATAAGAATCACTTATTGGAATGATACCGAAGGGAAAAGTCCCATCCGTTTTAGAAGTCGCAAAGAAATGGAAGGCTTAAATACCAAAAATAAGATGGTCAGTAACTTCGATCTTGTTTTTGTCCTTCTCGGGTTCTAGTCCAATCTTCTACTGTAACCTTTGCCTTTGTCTCTACTTCTGGGTCTCAATCTCGAACTCAAACTGATGCTAGCTATTTTTCTAGATGTTGAGAAGCGGGACATGACGACCGTGAACCGCTGAAAGATCAGATGATCTATCTTCCTTTAACTTCCCCTTAATTAAGGAGTATAGTAAGGCCCCCAACAGGGTCAATGAAATGCAGCCGAGCAGGCACCGGTCAGAACTCTGCACCAAGCAGAGCACTCGCCGCCGACCGATTGCTTGAATCTATTCCCACGTTCGCATGCTAGCTAGATGAGAGGTGGGTTTGTTAACGTCTTGTTATTGGCTTTGTAGATAATATGACTTGTCTTTGCATCAGGATGATTTGGAATAAGCTAAGCTCTTCCAGTGAGAGTGGCCTATCTACTGCGCCAATCTTTTTTTATTTTTCTCAGCCTGACAGGGAATTAGTGCTCTGCGATTGCATGACCTTTCCTCACCAGGCAAAAAAGAAAAACAATCCAACACCTAGAGTTGAATTTTAGGCAGCCTAATTCTTTCTTCTTACCCATATACAGAAAGAGAGGAGTAACGCCAGGACAGGTCACGACTACGTGTTTGACTCCTGCCAAAGAGTTCTTTTGTCCAACTATTACTCTAACTCTATAGAAAAGACAGTTAGGCCTTTTCCTTAAGCTCCGGGAGGACAGGTTCTATTAAGAATTAGAAAAAGATTCCAGCCAGGAAACGAATGCCAACGGTTTCTAAAGCTCAAGAAGTTGCTTCTTAGCTGCGATGCTAAGCAAGAACACGCCAGTGGGTTTATGTTTGCTCTTTTAGCGAAATTAGAGCAGTTGGGTTGGTATAAGATTATAATATAGGTCAGAAAGAATCAAATGTATTCAAATTATATTCCATGAGCGCGATTTCGCCCGAAGTCTACTGCTTCTTGATTGTAAAGAAGATAGTAAATATGTCCTTCATGCGATGGGGATGAATTCTTAAATAAATATGAATCGCTACTGGATTCCTTTATCAATCGTATAAAAAGAGGTGGGGTTGTACCGAGATGTACCTTAGTTGACTTGTTTGAGTCCAATAAACCATGATAACAATGGCAGTGCTGCCATCCCCGTGTTCTCCAACGCAATCCATGCAATCGAATCGGATCACAATAATCGTTTCCACAGCAATCGACGGAAGTCGCCACCTTCCTCACCTTCGTCATTGGTGGTGGACAGTGACAGTGAGTGAAAATAGATCAAAACATTTTAGAAGAGAACAACGTAATAAAAACGGAGCTGAATAAGAGAAATACCGTAATGAGACGAAGATGACAAACTGAAATGGAGCGATCGGAGATAGAGCAGTGTATCTAGTTGCAGTGACCATTCACGCTTTAAAAAATTCTTAAATTATAAAGGTCTCGTTACAAGTCATTTTTATATCGAAAATGATTATTTGACAATCGGAAAAAAAACATTTGTTCGACAACTGGTGCCAAAAATAAATTAATTAAAAATAAGGGTTTGATTAGTAAAATTGTAGAGGGGTCAGAGATGTAATATTGTAAAAATGGGGGATGTTATGGTAAAGTGAAATATATGTTTGAAGAAGGTACATTATTTTTCGCTTAACACATTCTCGCTCGACATCGCTCGACTTCCTCTCGCTCGACTTAGGCTAAATTTTCGCTTGTCTTCTCCGTCTCACTCTTCACGGCGCTCGACTTCCTCTCGCTTGTCTTCCTCCGTGTCGTTGGAGCTGAACATCACTGTCTGTCGCTTGAGCGACCGTGCGGTGAGTGTTCGTTTAACAACATTTGCTTGATTTTGTGTGTATTTTAGATTGGGTTTCCATTGTTGTTTTCTTTTCTGTTTATCTTTGATTGGGTTTATAATGAAGGTGTTTTTCACGGTTTAGGGTTAATTGAGTTGTGATGCTATATTAATGTCGAACAAGTGTTTGATGAAATGCTATAATGAAGAATTGTATTTGTGCATTCTTGCTTTGTTTTCTGTTTATCTTAGATTGGGTTTGTAATGAAAGTATTCTGTAGGGTTTAGGGTTAATTGAGTTGTGATGCTATATTAATGTCCAACAAGTGTTTGATGAAATGCTACAATGAAGAATTGTATTTGCATGACAAACATTTTGTATAATATGCACAAGATTTACACCCACATTTGCATAATTCACAATTTGACCAAAAGTATGTGTAACATGGTTGGACTTAATTTTTTTTTTTTGTACTATTGCAAGTTACAATTTTAATAATTTGTAACAGGATTAGTTTGGGAAAAAATGTCTGCAAAAAGAGACCGTCGTGACGAGAAAAAGGTTATGTGCATGTTAATTATAGTTTTTTTATGAAAAGTGATTTACTAAATATTCAATTTGTTATATGTTATGTATGTTATATATGTTATACATGTTATATGTGCAGATAAGATTAAGACACAAGATTGAGACAGAGTATATAGCTGATATAAATTCAAAGTTGACCAAACACCAACGAGCAGCTATTGAACAAACTCCGTTTAAATGGCTTCTTCAAATAAAAGAGTCATTGCAAATATCAAGCAATATTATAAGAGAACTAGTTAGTCGATGGTCAGTTAGTGATCATTGTTTTAGAATAAAACAATATCTTGTCCCATTCACCCCTTTAGATGTTTGTTTTTCGTTAGGTTTACGTATAAGGGAGGAGGTAGTTGTTTTAGAAGATAGTGGTTCATGTTTAGTAAAAGATTTATTCGACGAAGAAGAACCAATAACAGTAACAAATATAGTTAGGAAGCTGAAAGGAAAAAAAAATTAAGCATGTAAATATGTAGTTGACTTTTGTAGGCTTTATATCTTACTTGGGTGGGCGATTTTTTACTTTCCTCGCACATCCCGCACTGTTCATAGTGTTCCTTTTAGTTTATTAGATGATTTAGAGGCATTAGATAATTATAATTGGGGAAATGTTGTGCACGGTTTATTAGTTAATAGTTTGCATTGTGCTAGTACAAAGTTAAATGAGCAAAAAAATGCTTCTCAATTGTACGTTGCTGGTTGTGTGGCTGTCTTACAGGTAACTTTCTTACAAATGATTGATTTATTAGTTGGTATGAAATTATTGTGACTGATGACATTGCATTATGTAATAGATGTGGGTAGTGGAGCACCTGTCTTTGCCTACTGATCCACCACGAAAGATTTGTTTTCCGCGTTTTGTTGAATGGCCTAAAGTGAACATTCGAAGGTCCAAAATAGAACGTGCATTCATCTCAAACAATGTAAGAAATTTTGTGTACAACATATATAAATTTTCCTTAAAAATGTGGACTTATTATATTATGTTCCTAACATATAAAGTTTTCCTTTATATGTTAGATTGTATGGGATTGGGCACTGTCTGTGGATGATCAGACAATGAAAGTTGTGCAAGAAGCTTTGACGCATTCACAAATTGAGAATACGGACATACCTTCCTCCAGTGGTGCGTCATGTGACTTGCAACAACTTTTATCGGACCAGCGCATATGGAGATCTAAAACATAAGAAAATCAAAAAAGGATCATTCAACTTGAACGTGAAGTTAAAATTTTGAAAGAGCAAATCGAGATTCACATGAATAAGTCATCGATAAAGGCGAAGGGGATTGGTGAGGATGATGACATGTATCAATTGTATAAGTTTTGCACCACCAACCTTGATAATCCAAACCGGTTAGTATATAATCAAATTTATTACATTCATTCAATTTAATTAGTATAAAATCCAATGTAATCTATTATTGTATTTCAGTGTTGTAGTGGAAGTGCATGGGCAGATATTGACTATGCAGAACTTGCACACATTAAAGCCAATGGGTCATATTGACAATATGGTAAGTTTGTTTATTTAATGAAAAAGTGTGATTCAATATATTTTTAAAAATTATATTTATTAATATCATATGGGTTGTTAGGTGATGTTGTTTGCAAGTAGTGTAATGATGTATGACCAAATGAATGTCACTGGTGGCAGCATTCAACTTTTTTGTTTCAATCCTTTGTTTGCGGTATGTTTATTGTGCATTTAAAAAGTTAAGTTGCACATAGGTTTATTATCATTGATTGTCATTTATTTTTGTGCCTTTTGATAGACACAAGTGATTAAACAAATGTATATTCACAAAGGGAACACATCGACATGGACAATGAAAGACTTCTCACTTTTCTATCCAAATACAATTATTCCATTGCAGCAGTTATTGAGTTATGAATTTGTGAGTATTTATACTTTGCCTAAAATTTATATTCTTGTCAAGATAAAATTCAATTAACCAGAGTTTTTTCTATTTCAGATTTTTGCTCCCACTGTACACAATGGTCATTGGTGGTGTTATGTGCTGAAATGTAAGGATGGAGAACTGTTTATATTAGATTCATTGGGCCATGATAATAGATCACGAAAACCAATTGATAGAGCTATGGTCAATATTTGTTTTAAGTTGTTTACGTAGGTAATATAGTTAATTCAGAGCTATGTTTATTTGGCGAATAATGTAATATTGTGAACAGTTGCAATGTTTTGAACATCTATTGTCGCTGTTGGAAACAAAGTCATCGAGGACCACTGGAGAACTTAAGGTTACAAAGGAGGACTTGCCAATTCAACCAAACATGTTAGTATGTTATTATAGTTGAAATTTTGTTTGCAAAATGTTGTATGTAATGTGTGTAATAACTACATTCAATTATGCAGGTATGATTGTGGATTGTTTGTTTTAAAATATATGGAGTTGTGGGATGGTGTGAGCAAAGTGAATGGGAAAAGCATGCCTCATTACACATCGGTAAACATTAAAGTCATTGTATTATTGTTTTGTTTTTTATTACTATGAATATAATTTATTATGACATTCTTCATATTGTACAGGGGCAAGTTCAGAAATTTCGAGAAGAATATGTATGCAGATGGGTACTTCATCCTCAAAATCTTCATCGACAAGTCATGGTTATTGAATCAGGAGTTAACATCCTCATCTAGGAATAGAAATGTAGATATTGTATTTGATTATTTGTTCATCTTCATTGATGAATGTTGTACAGTTTTTTCATATGTAATATAACTGTTAAGTTGGTTATGGATCATTTAAATGTTAAATATTATGACATTAACAAGTGACTGATTTTTGGACCATGGTTACTATTTTTTGTATCATTTTTTATTTATTTTGACAATTACATTATTGATTGGGTTTTTACCATCCCAGTTGCACAATATCCCTATTCAGATGATGCAGACTATCTCCATGTAACAGAGAGTGTATATTGAGAACCACAGTTGTACAAAATACATGTAATTACTACCAGATTTATATGTTACGAACATATGAAGATGAAGATGCTCCTCTATAGTATTAACTGTTAAAGGGCATGTTGGATTGGTTGATAAGGGTAGAACTATCCTCATACCACATACTTGGATGATATATGGAGCGTGGCCACCACCCACTCTCACTGCTCAAGTAAACATCATAGTAACATCAACAATCGGTCAACTATAACTTAGTTCCACAAAACAAAATGGTCATTAATTTTTATTTGAATTTATGATGGCAAGATGTTGATAAGTAATATAAAAGAAGAAATTCAGATTAAAAGAACAAGGGAAGAGAACAATATAAACTAGCATATGGAAATTGTACAAGTGATAAGATTTATTGTAGGAAAGATGTATAGGTTTATGCATCATCTTTGTACATAACAGATAACTTCATGCTTAATAGAAGTTGTAAAGAATGCGCTTGACAAAAAATAGATTGAAATTTGCATGTCACGTCTCATTCAAGTTCAACCTTGGCCACAAACGAAATGTTCAATGCAGTTAGCCACATACTGTAACATGGATAACCACATATTTGAATCACTTGCCGCTCGACCGAGAATAAAGTCGCTTGAGCGAGAAACAACCCGAGAGTCCATATTTTTTGTAAGGTTAACTCGCTCAAGCTACAAATATCTCGCTTGAGCAAATATTGGCCGTAGACGAAACGTCCAACGCAGCTAGCCACATAATATAACTTGGTTCACCTTATATAAGCCTCGCTCAAGCGATGATACTTTCGCTTGAGCGATACAGAACCCGAGAGACTCCATTGTTTGAAGGTATCGTCGCTTGAGCGACGCATTCCTCGCTTGCGCGAGTGTTGACCTACAGAGGAAACGTTCAACGTAGTTAGCCATATAATATAACTTGGTTGACCACATACAAGAATC